TCTGTAAAGATATTGCTACGACATATGTCTGCAATTTTGCTGCCTATGGAGTCCTGTAGGATTTTTATGGTTTCCTGTCTTACATTCAAATCCTTTAACCATTTTGAGTTTGTTTTTGTGTATGGTGTAAGTTGGTGATCTAGTTTCATTTTTTTTGCATGTATCTGACCACATTTCCCAGCACCATTTATTAAAGATACTGTTTTGACTCCATTGTATGCTCTTGCCTCCTTTGTCGTGTGTCACACATTTTTATCCATTTATTTACTGATGGGCATTTGGGCTATTTACAGATCTTAGCTAGTGGAGAAAAGGGAACCATAGTACACTGCTGGTGGGAATGCCGGCTGGTGCAGCCACTATGGAAAACAGTATGGGGTTTCTTCAAAACATTGAAAATGGAACTGCCATTTGACCCAGTGATCCCACTTCTAGGACTATATCCTAAGAAACCCAAAACACCAATCAGAAATAATATATGCATCCCTATGTTCTCTTCCCAATTTTTAATCATATTGTTTTGTTGTTGAGTTGTGTGAGCTCTTTATATATTTTGGATATTAGTCTCATATGTTGAATTATAATCTTATACACCTGAAAATTACATATTATTACCAGTGTTACCCAATAAGTTTATTTTTTTAAAAGTTCCTTTTACCCCTGTTCAGAGAATAGAATATTTCCTAGCCACTTCTTGTTTACTCTGCCACTTGTCCTGAATATAAATGGAAAGAGAGATCGTTTATGGTTAACTAGCATAGTGTCTAAAAATAGATTTGGGTGATCTATCAGACCTGGATTCAAATCCTAGTTCTACCTCTTAGTAGTTGCATGCATTTGAACAAGTCATATAGTTGTTCCAAATCTAATTTTCTCATGTGATGTGAAAATAACATGTATCTTATGAAGTAACTGAGAAAATGGGAAGGGATAAGTTCGCAGTACTTAGTTAAGATTACAATACTGACAGATATTGCTGTTATGTTAGCTTAGCTATTATGTGTTCTCTCTACCATGTCTCTAGCCCTAGTTGACCATGTTCGTTTTAAACACAGGTTGAAGGAAGATGGGAAATTCAATGGTAGCAATTCAATAGCAGAAATCATTGCTGGATTAAGGCAAAACAAGGAAAAACAGTGGTATTTTCCATTAAAAAAGGAGGGTTAGGTGACTATATGAATATATTTAGAATCTTCAGGAAAAGGCATTTACATGAGTATACTTTTAACGACGCACAGAATAAATTAGAAAAATAGATAAGCAGGTAAATTTGACAAATTGCATGGTAAAAGTAAAATGTCAGAATCTGATTATAGTGCCAGCACCTAGCAAAGTGCTTAGAACATGAACATACACCTTAAATTTTTGTTGAATGAAGGAGTGGCGTAGATTAAATTTTGCTTTTATTAAAATTTATATTAAAATTTTCTTAAAATACCATAAAAATTGTAAAAGATGGAAATAGGAGTATATAATACTAAGGAGTCTAATAAGAACGATGTCATATAAGTTTATGGGAGATTTTAAATTTTACTTATTAAATAAAAGTAGAGAAATAATATTCGTTAAGATGAGGACATTATAGGTATTGAAATATCAAATATAAAATAAAAATCAGGGCACTCTGTAGAGTATGAACTACTAATAACAGAGTAGTAGTGAGCTAACAGTCAGCTAGCCAAGACCTTGGTGGAATTCCCTTAAACATATTTCCTTATAAAAAAGGGGCGAGGGGATACATATCTGTCCCAGAAGAGGCATATTATTTGGGAACAAGATTTATTGATGTTTATTATTTGTTAACGGCCAGAATGCATATAATCCCAGCATCCCATGATGCTAATTTTAGAGAACAGAATTAACCACCCAGGTTAAATGAAAGTTGTGTTCTATCATATGAATTTTTTAATTTTTTTGGAGCAAATTCACCTAAAGTCTAAGCCATGTTTTCTTTTGGTATACATTATTGGACTTTTTACTTTTGTAAGCTAAAATGGCTAATATTAATTTCAGCATTTTCAACATTAAGAGTGGTGTTATTTTAGTTATTGCCAATGTAGGGAATGAAAGTGAGAAACAGGACAGTTAAAGTTGTAAGAAAGAAAATAGCGTGTTTTGAATATGCCTTGAAAATGGTGCACATTTTTCATGCTTTCCAAAATTATATAGGCTTGCCTAATAATATAAACTATCCTACAAGTTAGAAATCTGATTTCTTAGAGTTCCAGAAATCCCAGAATATTAAAATATGACTTTAATCACTATTAATTGAAACTGTAATGGCTTGTAGAAATATCACTATAATCAAACTATATCCTGGTTTGGGAATTAAAAATAATGGCAAATATAGATTGAAACTTTTTATTCAAAGGTGAGGTTGCAGAGTCCACTATTAATGGGGCTCACATGATTTTTAAGTCTATTTTGTTGGTAGGGATAACAAGTGCGGGGTTACTACATTCTCAGCCTGGGCTGATTATTATTAATTTTTGTTGTGATTATTTGGCTTCCTGTTTTTATCTTTTTGGAGATTTCATCTGTCCTCTATTTCTTTTATTCATTTACTGTCTTTCCTGTGGTGTTCAGAATAGACATGGCATTGGAGAAAGCTTCAAAAACACATATCATCATGTTCAAAGTTTCATTTTCTTCCCCTTCCTTTATTAGCATTCTGCAGACAATTAAAATTCCTTCATGTGAGATGCAGTGAGATGACTCTGAGGTCCCTGCTTTAAAATTACCAAACAAAACT